ATATATTTTGGTTGAATATTTATTTTGATATATTTTGGTTGAATATTTATTTTGATATATTTTGGTTGAATATTTGGTTGTTGAATATTTGGTTGTTGAATATTTGGTTGTGGAATTGATTTCGACAAACAGATGTTCTATCTTATTTATATTGTAAAGTTGCTGTTTGTGGGAGTCTGGGAGTAATTTTTTTTAAATGAAAACGTATTGTGATAATACGTTTTATCTTTTAATTTTTTTAACTGAAAACGTATTGTCATAATACGGTTTTTGGATGAAAACCGTAATCTGAAAATACGTGTTCAATTAAAAAAAAATTTCATAAATTTTACTAATTTTTTTAATTTATAGTATATAAAAATTATTTAAAAAAAAACGTATATTCAAAATACGTTTTAATTTTTAAAGCATTTTTTGAAAATACGTTTCTTTTAAAACGTATTATGAAAGTACGTTTTATTTTACATTAATTTTCTTAATCGCGATTTAATTAAGTTAATCGTGTTTAAAAATTTATTTCGTTATAAAACGTAACATGAGAATACGTTTTCTTTAGGAAACGTATTCTGAGAATACGGTTTACAATTGAAAACGTATTCTCAATATACGGCTGTTTTATTTGGTCGACAGCGATTTTTTTTTTTTTATTTTTGTCCAGTTAATTTTTTTTTTTTGATTTAAATAATAAATTCGTTCATTTGTAGGTGGTTGTGAGGGTCAATCCCCCAGGTCTCCGTCACAATCTAAGTTGGAGTTATGCTCTTGTTCTTCTTTTTGGGTTGTGGGTATTTCTTACCTTCTGTATGCGCCTTGCATTTTGGGCTAGTTAGCCTTCGAACAAATTTTTCGTTGAGTAATATATTCTGTCGTTTCGAAAATAATAATAATAATAATAATAATACTAATAATAATAATAATAATAATATAATAATAATAATAATAATAATAATATAAAACCAAAAAAAAAAAAAGCATACCACTAAAGGGTTTGGCCATTTGGCGGCAGCCAAAAAAGTTGAAAAAATCCCCTCTGAAAAAATAGCGCCACATTTTCTCAAACCCGCCAGTTAGATGCCATAAAAGCTCAACCTCATCGAACAATTTGATTACACTGCCATTACCCATTTACACACAGGGCTGGCTAGGGTTAGGACTCGTTGCTTGAGAAAAACATCAAAATGGTGGTGGCTGCTCATTTGGAATCAATGGCTTCGGAGGATGGTAAATTCTTCTTTTCCTCGATTTTCTTTTCTCTTGCTCGCCCTTTCGATATCATCGTCACGTTGCCCATTCAAATGCAAACCGCTACACTTTGTTCGATTTACAAATGCTGGTGCTTTGTTTGATTTACAAATGCTGGTGTTTTAGTTTAGGCATTCATAGTCGGGGCTTCACTTGGTCGATCATTTTGTTCTTTATGGACATCGGAAAATGGAAGTGCCGGGTTTGTGTTTAAAAACAGAACCTTGATTCTAATAATCAGCCTGGATTGTTATCTAGATCTTCCGGTTATTAGACGGCCAGATCCCACTAGAAAATTGGAATTTTATGGGGTTTGGTGCGTTGTATCAGCTTATTTGGAATTGATTGGTTGATTGAATAATTGAAGTGTTATACAGAGTTGCTCTGCTGTTGTTAATCTCAATGTTTGTGTGCATGCCTATGTGTGAATTAAATTACAGGCGGTTTCAAATCTGATCTTGAATTAGTTGATTATGTGTTGTTTAATTTAGTACGTTTTTTTTTTATCAGTGATTTATGACTGTCGATATTTTCCTTACATAGGTCTAAATTAAGAGTTATTAAAATCAGACTAAAATAAACCAAAATAGGTTTTTCAAAATTATTAGTGTGTTTGTATGCTCATTCATTATATAGAAAGGGAGTCACCAGAAGCAATTTTTAGGCCATTCATAGAAAGATATGGATCTGTACTTTGCAAGCTCATATTTGTATGTACATGCTAGCAGAAGTTGGATTCATGGAATGTTTGTTGAGCTGGACCTTTTGAAGCCCTCAACTTTTTGAAGTTTTATATTTTGTTTGTGTTCGTTACAGACCGTTGTACTCTTTGGAGTTTGGAATGTTCTATTTTATCACTTGTCTGTGGGCCATATTTCATTGTATGCATCAAAACAACTCTATCCCCTTGGCTACCTGCTCAACACTATATGGATCAGTACTTGAAGCATTAAATACATAAAAGCAAAGTATGCGTATACTAACTATTGGTCACTTCTGGCATGCAAATCGGGTAACCCAAATGGTGACATTTACATTACCCAAATGGAACTGGATGTCATATATGGTTTTCAATTGAAACGTCATAAAGCCATAAACAAAATTGCCACAACTACAGTACATTTGATTATAAGATCTATACTTCGCTAGTAATAAAAAAGAACTATTTCATTTATGGGACAAAGGTCTGAGCTTGCATATTTTCTACATTTGAGAATTAGAGGTCTAAATTGTATAGTTGATGTGATCCGATCATTCATAAATATATTTGAATTGGTTTAGAATGGTCCGAAGCTATAAACTTCATGCTTGTGTCCACGTATTTCGAGCTTGTCCAGACATTTATAGGATATAATTTCACATCCTCTACGTATTGTACTTCTATAGTTATTACTAGTCCTAAGTGTTTTATTGTGGATGCCAGTAATCTTTTCCAAATAATACCTTTCTCTAACACTAATTATTTGCCGATTCTCAGTTTCCATCATATTTATGTTTTGTAGTCTTATAACCTCCTTTTTGACTAGCTGTTGCTTGTTTCCTTCAGATGACAATGTAACATATCATGTCTGTTTTTGAGCTTCCATTATTATAATTTTAAAGGGATTGCTATCCAAAATCACTGAATTGGTTTGTTTGATCTTTTGTTCATTTATGTGCTGGATATCAACATTTCCTTCACTCAATCTGACATGTTGCATTTGTTATAGGGATGAAAAGTAGCAAAAATAAAATAGTTCCTGCATCTAAGAAA